CTCGAAAAAAGACACCAGCCGTAGAGCCATACACTTTCCAAAAATCTTTGAAATGATGGGAAGTAGAGATATGGGCCTGTAGTTTCCAGGCGAATCTGAGTTTCCGTGTTTAAAGATAGGGATAACCACCACTCTCTTCAAGATTCTTGGGAATATACCATTTTTTATACAAACATTTATTAGTTCGGAAAGTAAAATCTGTTTTTTTTTTAAAGATAAAAGTCAAAATGACATTCTGTTGGCAATACAATGTGAAATTGTCAATGCTTTCAAATTTTTTATGTAGAAAAGGCTTGTGTTGCCAACATAGTTACTAAATTTTTGACTTGGGGAATTATCTTAAAAAAAAAACAGACTCTATTTGCTAATTTTTACGTAATAAACCATTTATTATTATCTCTTGCGTGAAACGCAAGTTCTGTTCTATACTCGGCATAAAAATAATAATAATGACAAAATGCACAATTCATTAATTCATTTAAATAACTTGACTAATTGAATGAAAGAGGGAAGCACCAGAGCTGTCAGAAAAAAGTATCTTTACTAGCTACTTTAGAGTATCTTACTAGCTACTTTAGAGTATCTTAGTTACTTTTTAAAAGGATCTATAACTTGTATCTTAAAAAAGTATCTTAGATACCGAGAAGTATAGATAAGATACTGAAAAGTATCTTAGAAACTGAAAAGTAGGTATCTAAGTTAACGGAAAGTATTGAAGTGTGTGTAAGCGATTTATCTATTATATTCTATGAAATTTTAACTATATGATTTGTAATTTCTAGAGATTGTAACTGTACATAACTTTCTGTGTCCTCTGATTTTGGGATTTTTAAACTATAAAAATTCTTGTTTTTCAAATTGAACCTGAAACCTGTGGACCAAATAAGCAGCAATAGCTTTATCGGTTTTTCTGCCTACTATTTGGAAAATGAAAATAATAATATAGTTACTAAAGTATTAGGAGCGGTAAGTGTCATTTACCGCCCGAGAGTGTTTCAGAGGTCTTCAATATTCGAGGGTGGTTAACGACACTTAACGCCCAAAATATTTATTACGTTTTATGCACATCGGACTCTTCCAGTTCAAAAATGAAATAACTATACCTATATTCATTTGAAATTGTTTTCAAAAATAAACAGTCTTCTCCTTTATACAGGGTGTTCCTAAATATCATGTACAAACGAAAGGGGGTGATTCTTTGGTTAGTTTTATGACTAAAATCTCTAATAAACATAGGTTCGCAAACGCTTCGTTACCGATCTACAGGGTATTGAAATTTTAATATTTTTTTTGTTTTTTCTTTATAACTCCAGCAATTTTTGAGGGATTTATCTCAAATTTGGAATATAGGTTACGCAATAGAAGCTGAATGATTGCACACGTCAAACGTTTGCCAGAATCTACAGGGTGATGTTTTTTGAGGGGTCATACCCCTTTTCTGCCCCTGAACTTTTTTGCGGTGCGCCGCTGGTCGATTCTAAAAAATTGAATAGTTTTTCTACCCTATTTAGAAACGTTTTGTTCTCTTGTAGTTTTTTCGTATCACCGACCCTTATCAAGAAAAAAATTAAAAAACAAATCTCTGTAATTAGCAAGATGAAACTAAAGTGACTCAATAAACCTTTTCTACCTATAGTGGCGACAATAAAGGTCCCGCAGCCATATTTTTGCTCATTTTCAATGGGAAACTAGCAGAGCTGGGCAAGCTACTTGGAAAAAGTAGCTAGCTACAAGCTACAAGCTACTTTATATTGTAAGTAGCTAAGTTACTCAGTAGCTCAACTACCTCTTTGAAAAAGTAGCTAAGCTATTAGTAACTAAACTACATTTTGAATTAGTGAAAGCTACTATTTAAGCTACTTTTATCAATGTACCTACATGCCTTACCTAATTTAATTTCATAATATAATCATACGAAAATAACATATCAACTTTCTCTAAGAAGTAGTATTCATATTTTTGTCAAAAACCACTGGACAATAATTTTTTAGGTTCACTTTGATCACAGTGATCTGCGAATGCGAGAATAAAATAGGACACATAAAACATAGGTACCCACAGAGATAACTAGAAACTAGTCTTGCTATATTTATTTTTGAAAACAATGTCAAATGGATGCCATTATATTATAGGTATAGTTATTTTATTTTTGAACTAGAAGAGTCCGCTGCGCATAAAACGTAATAGGTGTTTTGGGCGTTGAGTATCGTTAACCACACCCTCGGGCGGTAAATGACACTTTCCGCCATTAATACCTAAATAACTATTAACTATCTACCAAAAGTAGCTTGAGTAGCTTATTTTAGTAGCTAGCTACTTTTTACAGTAGCTTAGGAATACTTGAAACGCATTACCAAAAGCTACAGCTACAAGCTACTTTTTTTTCAAAGTAGCTTGAATAAGTTATTAGCTACCAAAAAAGTAGCTAAGCTAGTAGCTTAACTACTTGGTAGCTAGCTACTGCCCAGCTCTGGAAACTAGAAGTAAGACACCCCTCGCTGCCATATTCTTGCTCATTTTCAATATGAATACATTAAAATTTCAACACCCTGTAGATCGGTAACGAAAGGTTTGCGGCCCTATGTTTATTAAAATTTTTAGTCATAAAATAAACCAAAGAATCGCCCCCTTCCGTTTGTACATGACATTTAGGAACACCCTGTATAAAGGCGCATTTCCACTGAAAAATTGGCAACCTCTGTATTTGCAAATCTTCCAAGAATCAAGAAGTTTTATATTTTTCATGGTTATCCACAGCGATTTTGGTAATAATATATGTAATAGTTGTTGGGTGAATATAATAAATAATCCTAGGTGATTTATCTCCTAAAAGAGACCAGGCGCGAAGATCAACTTACCGCCCGCAAATGCGTGGACTTAAGATACGTATTTAAGATCCTTTCTTTAATGAGTAACTGAATACCCAAAGTAACTTCAGATACTTTTTGAAAGTATCTTTGACAGCTCTAGGCAGCACACACCAGAAAATGAAGAAACAATTAGATATAATGAGAAGGGAAAAAAGTGAAATATAGAGGTTGAGAAGAGAAAAGAAAGAAAAAAAAAAAGAGAAGGAACAAAAAAAGAATCTTATTATTGTACAATACAATAATTATTGTATCTACTTATTTCGGCAATACAACATTAACTAAAAAACAATTTCATTTTATTTTACGATGTCATTGGCATGTTCCAGTAACTTTCGCTTTATTTTTTTCTTCAAAATGTGAAAAGTGAATCAGATAATAACTAATTTTGGAAGAGTGATCTCACTTATCGCTAAGGTAACAATACCATCAAACTGAAAAGATTGAAAAGAAGTAAGAAGGTGAAGTCTTCAATTTATTATAAACTATTAACTATTATAGATTTCGGCCTCAAATTGATGTTCTAAGTAAATTCTAATTTCAGGTTTTTTGGACAATATCAAAGGCGACTTTTTTGGCACGTATTCCTTTTCTACACACCACACACCATATTTACGACTAGAATTAATTATCCCGGACTCTAATCAGTATAGGTACATCAATTATTCATCAATACATCTTCATCTATTGTATTCGGAAACCGTTCGTACCTACTTACCTCAAAGCTGTAGGAGTAGAAGTGGTCCTTTTGTCTTGTCTTTGCTAGGGGTGGGTCGGAGGGAAAAAAATCTCCCCTCGAAAGACAGCGCGGCCGGTTACGGGTGCAATACACCCGCCCGCCGTACCGTCGATAAAAATTGTAGGGATTTCCTCGCCACACCTTGCGTATAACGTGTGCCATCTGTAAGGTAGGCTGCTGGTTATTTTCTAATACACAAGCGTGCTTCAAACGTAAAATCAATCACTAATAAAATAAAATAAATTGAGAAACGAAAAAACTGCGTCATAGATAAAAACGATTTTTTAACGGGTTATTCTTAATGAAACAGGTAGGTAGATTTTATAGCAATTCGTCGTATTTTAAACTTACCACACTTACAACTTACAACAAATCCCGTATTTAGAGTACCTAACTGTGAACTTACTTAGTACTACGCGCTATTTATAGTTGACAACGTACTCCGGATCTATCCAGAAAAATACAATAAAATTTCCCGAATCCGAATAGTCACGCCAAATGTCAACAACTCGATTCCTAGAAAGGCTGTCGAGGATCTAGGTAATTTAATTTCCTAACTTATACATCTTTTAATCCCTCATTTTCTCTGCTCTTTAATACAGCATGGTTTACAGAATATAATAATTTCACTGACAACCAGAACCAGCATTGCCAAATTCAAGAGAAACTACTCAATTTTAAGTTTATTAAAAAAGCTTTTAAGGGACTTAAGGAAGGCAAATTCCCTCTTCATGCATAAAACAAGTTTTTTAATGTTTTTATTGATTAATAGACATTTTCTGATTTTATGTTTATCTCAATCAGCTTGAATGCAATCCAGTTTTTGTATGCTCTGGTTCTGGTTATATATTATATAAAAAACTATGAATAAATTATTGATATAAACTTTTCGACATACTTTTGCTCCCTCAATGTACCGCGAAACCGGAGCCGTCGTCCGACCCAAGCAGCTGGCTTCCGACCAGCTGCCGCTCTTTCACGTATAAAGCGGCAAAGTGGGCCACAGTCTTCTCGTGCACCATAAACGAGCTTTTCCCATGCCGCTCCTCCAAGATAGTGACCACAATACGCACCTTGACTCCGGAACAATGTATAGTCCGATCAACGAAATAAGAAGACGATCTTCCCTGTTCAAAATAGCCGATCAAATGTTCCAATTTAAAGTTGGTGGGTTTTTATTAAATAGTGTAATTAATTTCAACTAAAGAAATGGGTTATTGTATATAATCAAACAAAAATATTTTAAAAATAATATTGAAAATCTCAGATTCTTTAGTGTTGGATCGGACTATACCTAAAGCTCCCTCGCGACATGTGTGCGTGATTCAAAAGGCACATGTCGGCGTCGGCCCGAGAACTTAAATGAACTCGAAATTTTGGGGTGGGTGCATCGAAAATAATTTAGTGCATAATACAAGTTGAATTTAGATTTTAGTGATTTTTTTTTTTAAATAGAAAGTTTGTGGTAAAATAGTTTTTGGTTGCTGACAATGAAAACCCAAAAGCCAAATAATATTGGGAAAAACTCTGGAAGAAGGATAATAAGACATTCGAATAATAGAGTAAGAAACAATTTAATTATTTTAATTAGGTATTTTTGATTATAAAATTATTATTCATTGTTCTTAATATTCTTCAAGTACATACATATTCATAATAAAATGATTGCTGAACTTGCGGCTCTGTTCAAAGTTCAAACGATTTGGATTTGGCAAAAAGAAAATAGTTATATATAGAAATATTACATATTTCAATTGGAAAAAATCAAAACTCTAACAGGTTATGGGCCCAGATATTCAGTCCGATTCTAGGATTTGACTAAAATAGAGTAGGTAATATCATTGGTCTGGTTTGTTCGTCCAAGAAGAAAATGGAAATGTATTTGTTTTCGAGTTTGTTTTTTCATTGGCAAAGATATACAATTTTCAATTTTCCATCGCTCATAACTTTTATGAGCAATATTCAATTTATTTTTGGACAGTTAGTTAGTTAGTTAATATAGGCCTGCTACTGGTATGTTCTTGTTATTGATGATGTGAATGGATTTTGACTTGATATTATTTTTCAAATAAACTCCGTAATTTTTACTTTAACAAGTTTTTATTAATTTTTCTTAAGCAGGACTGCTTGACCATTTACACATGGGTATTGGGTAAGCATTGCAAAAGAACTATTGTATTACCTACTATTATTATTATTTTTCCATTTCTTTGGTATTCATTATCAATTCCAAATTCCATCACTTTTTGTAGCATTTAAGATTTAGGTAACGCATGATTCTCTTGACAATATTGATATCCGTTTTTATTGGATTTTCCATATTTCTGCAATTCTGCATACATAATCCACTATCTCTATTCTCCATTTTTCTATTTTTCTTTTTTGAAATATATAAAGACAGACTGCCAACTGCCTCTCTATAGGGAAAATTTATTGTATAGCTCTTGTCGCTGGTTGTTTTTTCGATAATGTTATCCACCCACCCACTACTGGATCATTGCTGTTTTTGGATTTTAAGAATAGTATCAATCTAGTTTTCTTGATCAAGTTACATCCAATTTTTACCTCTTGTAATATTTATAATCAGAAAAGTTTTTACACTGTGAAATTCCCTTATATTAAACTTGGCTTCCAACTTATTTAACAACCTATCTATTTCTTGTTACGTCTTTCGCCCACTATAAGTCCATCACCTACATAGATGGCCAAAAACAGTGTACGACACTTTTTTTACGTTTTTATACACAACATACATTGTTCGCTGCTTAAAGGTTTTAAGCAAAGATTTAGGCCCCTTTATTTTAGAAACCTAATAAAATGTTCATTCCATCTCATCGGAACCTATTTAAGTCCATGCAATGCCTTTTTGAAAATAAAAATTTGATTTTTAAGTTTTTTATGTCATACCAATACATTATTGTGGTTTTATACCTTAGATACCATCTACATAATTCATTACTTTATGCCCGTGCGGGCATACAGTACACATTATGGCCCGCGCGGGCATAAAGACGCAAAAAACAGTTTTCTATTAACTTATTCTTTATTAACAAAATATAAATTTACGCTGATAAACATATTATTTTTGTCAAAAAATTATGATGTTTGCACACTGATGACAATTTGCGAAGTGACACTATTTTCCCAGGTATTTATTATTCACAACCAACTGGCATGACATAAAAGTTTGTATGCATCACGGGTACTAATAGATATATATACCCTCGGGCGACTTACGAACCCTCGGGCCAGAGGCCCTCGGCTTTGCAAGACTGTCGCCCTCAGGGCATAATCATCTACTTAGTACCCTTGATACATAAATAACTATTATAGCCTTCAGGAATTTCCATACGCGCTTTATAATTCAATGTCCCATAAAGAAACGCAGTATTGTCAATTTTTTTTATTTCATAGTTTTTCTGTACATACAGGGTGTCCCAGGGAAAACAGTCCACCCCGATTTATTGGATTTGGGATGAGAATCTGGAGAAACGCTCGGACACGTCGATTTTTGATTTGAGGGGGAACTATTTTTCAGTTTTTTTCATCCCCGTAGCTTCAACCCCCTAGCTAGGGGGAGAACAACCCCCCAAATTTGAATAGGGGATAGGGGTCACGTCATATCTCTTTTTGAAGGTCTCATCGAGTTCTTCATGCCCCTAAAATTTCGTTTTATTATTTTCATCTGTAACGAAATGACAGCTTGTCAAAATCTTGGAAATAGACTATTAGTTTTAGTGGGAGCAAAAGCGATACTTACCTCCCTTAATAAAAATACTTGAAATGAAGTATTTTCTTATTATTATTAATGAGGTGTACATGAGAATTGTAAATCGTAGGTATTTTTACTCGTATTTTTATTAAGGGAGGTAGTACCGCTTTTACTCCTACTAAAACATAGTCCATTTCCAAGATTTTGATAAGCTGTCATTTCGTTACGGATGAAAGTAATAAGATGAAATTCTACGGCCATAAAGAACTTGATCAGACCTTTAAAAAGAGGTATGACACAACCCCTATCCCCTATTCAAATTTGGGAGGTTGTTCTCCCCCTAGCTAGGGGGTTGAAGCTACGGGGATGAAAAGAACTGAAAAATAGTTCCCCCTCAAATCAAACATCGACGTGTCCGAGCGTTTTCCCAGATTCTCATCCCAAACCCAATAAATCGGGGTGGACTGTTTTCCCTGGGACACCCTGTATATGAGGACAACAAGGAACTGGAACGCAATGAGCTGATATTAACTACTGGGCTGAAAACTTCTTCATACTCTAGGCCTTTCACTTGTTCCTCTTAAAACTTTATTCTCGCTTTAAATTTCACATCTATCTTTATTCTGAAAACCCACTTCTGGCTCAATATCTTCTCCCCATTGGCTTTTTCTATAGACAATGTCTACATACTCCCAGTGTTGTTCTCTAAAGACTCCATTTCTTCATTAATTATACCGGCTGCCATTTTTTATTTTCTTTACAACTTATCGCCTAATCGCCAAATTTTTTAGGAAAAGCTATTTTTCTTCCTCGTCTGTTTTCTTTGCCTTATTCCCAAAATTGGCCTTTTCACTCGCATCTTCATCACTATAAGCTTGATCGTTTTTCTCCAAAATTTGTTGATTGTCATTTTTGTTTTGGTTTTGTTGATTTTCATCCTGTAATCGATTTTTGGTTTTTTCGGCCTGTTTACCTTCCAATTTTATTAAATATTTTTGTCTGATTATTTATTATTTGGTTTCTTTTTGAAAACAATGTCTCTTCTCACTCATCTCATAATCTATAACCGTTAAGTCGTTAGGTCCATAACCAACAAAAACAAATTGTTTACCTACTGCGCTCGTCTAACTTCTTCAAATATCCCAATATTCTTGCATAATGAGCTACCTACCGAAAAACAATCTTGATAAGTCTGACTTTTTGTTTGTATGTACTGATTTCATACAAGGTTTTCGAAGAGATTCTGTTGGTCTTCGATACCAACTCAGTCTTTCAGCTTTGACATTCAGTTGAAGGTGTATGGTATTTTCGTGTTCAATTTTTATGCCTTTTTTCTTACACCTGTTTATTAGTTCTTTCCTAACGTACCTACTCGCCATCACTGTGACTCCTTAGTTTTGATACTTCTGCATTTTGACATATGCTTCTTCTCTTCAACATATTCCTTAAGACATTCCGTCATTTTATTTTTACATCTTAGCAAATAAATAACTACATAGTGCATGTAGTTTTTATCACCCCAAGCAGTCGGATCGATCGATCCCCATAAGTCGGTGTGAATAATTACCTGATTGCTTTAGTTCTATTACTTTCAAACTAAAAATCTTACTTTGCTCTCAAACATAATTCTCATGGAATCTCAAAACACTCACTTTTTTATCCAAATTCAATCCATTCCGATAACAATAGCATTTGCAATAACAAATTTGCATGCTACTCATTTTAATGTGTCCTATTTTTTTATGCCAGCTGGTTTCTTTTTATTAAAATAAATTTTTATTTTTCATTAATACCTACTATTACTTCATTTCTTCAAACAGTACTTCACCTTGATTTTCAGTTATCGCACTTACGAAAACTAAATTCTTGCTGTAGGTCTGAAACATATTATAGCAAATTTTTTGAAACATTTCTCATTCTGAACAGTCTCCACTGCTTCGCTTTTTAATTTTGTCCCTTTTTAGTTTTTGGCTACACAAATTTATGTCTTCTTCTCTTCATCAATCATTATTTATTATTTTTATTTTGATCTCTTCTCGTTTGCTCTAAGTCGGTTTTTACTCTCAAAAAATAATTCCCTTATAGCACAAAAAGTACGATAGACCGATGGACGTTTCTTGAAGTCCGTTCAACGTCCAAACATCTAACGTTTGTTCCAGAACGTTTATAAAAACGGCATAAACGTCCGTGTTCACAAAGCGTCCATAAGCATAAAGTTCTAAAAAAAAAATTTGGGAACTACTATGTTGCCAGGGGCGTAGTCACCGGTGTTCCGCGTGTTCCACGGAACACGGGCCGGGTAGCTCAAGGGGCCCGGTTCGAAATGTCAATAATATTTTTTCTCCTATTAAGTACCTATAAAAAAAGTATGTGCAGCGCCGTACACGTAGTAGAAGTGGAACTTCTTAAAAACTACCCCCCGGTCCCCCTCATACAACTTTAAGACAGACGAAGTACCTACCACACAAAAGGGAGACGCGCATCTATAGTGACGTCACAGGAGTATTGGCGCTTCACAGTAATAGGCAAACCTCTTTGCGCTTATAATCCTTGGTTTGTGAAATCAATGTTATAATAGCTGCCTTTCTCCGCCTTTTTACGTCTCATATTTTTCCTCTCTCTCTCGTGTAACGAAATTTGCCAAAACGTGACGCGTCTTTCAAATCATTGGCCGAGTTCGTTTTTGTCATCTTTTTCATCAATTTGCTCCGAAATTTTGACAGGCACGTGACTGGATAAGACAGTTTCAGTTTACAAATCACATGCCTGTCAAAATTTCGGAGCAAATCGACGAAAAAGATGATAAAAACGAACTCGGCCATTCTCCATTGTTGTCCAAATATCAGACCG